TGCACTAAATCCGAGTTTATGTGAAGAATTTATTTGAGGGATACCTATATTTGAGTGAAAGTACTCAGTTTTAGTTTAAATATAATCGCAATTGAGTAAAATGATCAAAATGCCCAATATTGCCTGAAATTGTACTCAATAATTTCACTCAATGAATTCACTCCGTACCTTTATTGCTTTTACTCACACCGATTTTTTTACAGTAACTGTAATTGTAAGGTGTTAACATTTTCTGACATAACCGACACAAATAAGTTTGAGTCTGAGATAGTTCCATCTACCAAAGCGTACTGGACAGGATCTCAGATAACCGTTAGCCCAAATCGCGGCGTCTGTCTTATTCCTTCTAGCCGAAAGCGTTCTTCCTCAACCTTGCGCAGTCAGAAATGCAGACTTATTTCTGTCATTTGGCTATATTTCATTTGCTGTTAAATCTATGAATTTTACATCACTGCTATTATAAGAAAGTGTTCTGTCTGGCTATGTGAACAAAATTAGAAAATAGGTATATGTATCATACAGTACAACGATGAAGGCATAAAAAAAAATTACTATAGATTTATTGTCACAGCTTTTTTCATATTTTGATGCATAACAGAAACAATAGATACGCTCGTGATCGCTTCGTAAAAAAAATAATTTTCATATAATATCCGCACGCGCTTCATTTTTTGAGATACAAGATGATATAGTTTTATTGTTTTTTTATTTTTATTCTCATTTGTTTTGTGTTTTCTAGTAGATATATTGGTACTAATGGACGTATTCATTAGTAGGTTAAATCTCCAGAATTAAAACGATATTAGTACAGTTTACGTAAAATAGACCATATAAAAAAATGTGACCGTGCCTTAAGTCATATTTTATGAATATCATATAAACAGTGCAATATATAAAAAGCACTGGGCTTAAAAAAATTTATGAATAAAACTCTCGGAAGGTTAAAGGAGTTGTATTTCTAAAAAACTATCACTCTGTAGGTTATTTCGAAAGGTAATAGTATTTTCCGTGGTGTTCAATTCGAATCTGAATAGCTGATCTTAAGAACTGTGTAAGATAATTAAAACTTTATCACCCTGTATCTTAAAAATGTATCGTTTGGTTCTCATTTTTCCTTATGGAATCTGTCGGTAGAAAATTGTACCAACCTGTATGTATTTTGCAATGGGTAAAAAGGTTGTTAGTTTAGTTTAAACGAAATCATACAATAAAAGTACTTGGAAGTAAAGCCTACTATTACAAAAAATGCATTGTAATAGATATTTGTGGAATGTGGTCTTGTGTGTCAATTGTAATTTGTAATGCCTAGGTATTAAAAACACAGTAATTTCCACGAGATGATACATCAGAACATCAATTAAAATCATTTCCATCCAACATGTATGAATAAAATTATTGTGAGAGTAAGAAATTTTTATTTAATCAAATGAAGTACTTTAATGTAATCACATATCTTTCAAACTAATGGACAAGTTTCGATTTGAATTAAAATTGGCACTAAGACCAGCTACATTATAAATGCAAACATTTCCCTGTAAATAAAACCATCTAACACAGTAATATAGATTAATTTGAGGCATTTGAGAATGTTTCTTTCCAGGCTATATTTGCTAGTAGCATTCCAGAAATCATAGATCTAGTAGGTACTAGGTCCAAGTACTGTGGCGAGTACAAGAGAGAACACGGAAAGAGGTACTGTTTTTACCAGAAAAGTGAAATCAAAAGAAAATATGGTTACTTTGTTCATATCCCCAATTTGTTTTATTTATATTTAACCACTTTTTAATTATTTAACTTTATGTTGTGTAGTATACATGCAAGAATAATGTAAAACTTTCACAGAAAGAGAAAGATGAAATTTCATACAATTGAAGAAAATATTTATATTATTTTTGTATGCAATTCCATAATTATCCTGAAGAATTTACTTAGTTAAATTTAGTTTTATTTGACTAACTAAATATACCGTAACCATATTCTCTTAATCTTCATATTATAAGGAGTTATTATATTAATTTAGTCTCATCATAAGTGCTACACTTGTACAGCCGAAATTTAAAAGCATGTTTTACAAAATCGTTTGTAACCCAATAATTAATAATTAATTACACAGCCAGCCCCGCACACATTTGTTTTTTATAAATGAATACCACCAAGCCTGCCATTTAAAAAATAATAGCACTAACTTTGTTACATGTAGAATATGTAGACTGAAAATATTGAGTGTAGTGCACATAACTTTGCAAATTTGCATTCTGTATGAACAATGAGTATATAACTGTTTCTTTTTTCTTATCTCTTCTGCAAAATCTTGTTGAAAGTCAAAGAACATCCTCCCTTTCTCCTTAAAACTACAAAATAAGTGATACCAAAACCTTCCCGATGTACACAAACAACACATTGCGTTGAAAGTTATATTTGGCAAAAATACCGACTGCTGTTCATTCTGATGTTTATTTACATATATGTGAAAATAATAACTTACTTTTGAACAAAGTCAGATGAACTGCAAAGAGTATTTGTACCAAAACAACATACAGATACAAATAGAGACGTAAAGTATTTTACTGTTGAATAGTAGTGTTAGTTAAAAAGTAGTAGAGTAGTTTGTATTGGGGGTCCGAGGAGGAGCCTGATGGGGTTTGTGGGTTCTTGTTAGGCCGTTTTTGCCAGCTGGATTCCTGAGATTACTGAGCTAGCAGCCAATCGTCCCAAGTATGGCGGAAAGTACAACAAAGATGTGCGACGCAGGTATTAAACCCAGGCCAAAGCTCAATTTCCGTAATGAAAGGCATTGTTTTGAATTGTCTGAGTTGCTAACATTTACGTACTGAACATGGAACTTTCTAGCTGATTTTAAAATAGAAATAACCCTGGTCTCATCCCATGGTCACATTTCAAATGTTGAGCAATCTAGATATTTCTAAATAATGTCACTGATTGATACCTATGTATAACCACTCGGAATGACGCTATATTTATGAGTTATATTACTAAGTAGCACTTGCGTTATGATTTTTGCTACCCTGGGTAATTTAGACTAGGCATATTTAAATTGTTGTATAATTAGAGCAAAAGGCAATGGTAAAAATTCTTAAATTCTTAAATTATCGCACTGAGAAAACTGAATACCTGGTACGTATGGTATTAGTTCAATAATGTTTTGAATGCACATTTAGGAGATTGTAAAATGTAATTGATTCAAATTTCAAATCAATCTGACAAACGAAAAACAATAATACTTATGAATAATTTGTTGATTCACCACAGAGGACTTAATGCTTGTGATGAAATAATCACATCATGTTGGGTATCTCATCGCATGCTGCTTATAACTCTTAAAGTGCTGCCAAAGCCAGACGGGAAGACAATGTGTTTGCTTTTTGTTGTCCCACATAGATCTGGTCTTGGTGGCCATGGCAAGTGGCACTGTACTAGTTCACAGTCAGTCTCTTATGACCACAAAGATCTTTTCTATTGAACGGGTTCATATGGATACGTGACTGTAAAAATTACTATATATTCCTCTTCATCAGCACTTCATCATGAGGTACAGAATAACAGACAATTAATTACAAACATTATTAAGCATATTAATGAATAAATGAAGGGCAGCTTAACAGAGTAACACATGATTCAACTCAAATTGGCTTGAAATTTTAATCAATTACTCACTATAAATAGCCCTCTGAATATGTAAGTGAAACAGTATTAAAATAAAATCATAGTACTAGATTCTCCGTTTTCTGTATTCCTCGGTATATATTTTATGTCAGTTACCAATAGTATTTTTGATAACATAGGAAAGTTAGTATCTATATTTATTTTATTAAAATACCTTTGTACAAATATATTGTTTTATATTTATGTTACGTTCCTTTTCGTCATGCCTTTTGTTCAAATTCTACCCAACCTTTATGGAATGCCTAGTCTATTTTAATATTAGTCCAGAAATATTACCCTTACCCAAGTACTTTGAATAATACCCTTCCTTACTACTTTTCAACCATCAACCATCTTATGTACCCATGGGTAATATTTTTGTCACAACTATATGGCATATCACCTTTTTAGAGTTGATTCTTTTTGGCATGCTGCTAGCTGCCGAAAATTTATTAAATTGCATTCTGTATGCTTCTCCACTAATGTTCCTACTAAATTTGTCGTTTGTTTAGTTACTAGACTACACCCCTCCTCTGTGTGTATTCATAATTAATGTTACATTGACTACAAAGATACTTGATTGGATAGATATCACCAATTGATAAACATATTCTGTATAAATTTATAGAAAACAAATGTAAGTACCTAAGTAAAACCGGTTGATTTGGACAGAGCATACAGAATGGGACAATGGTAGAGATCCAAGCCATATCGCAGCTTAACACACGTTAATGTGGGTTTTACTGCGAATTTGATTTGGAGCACTACTATAATACGCATAGGTAGACTATAGCTGGCCCTGTAGTCTTAGTAGCACCTATAAAATGCCTGCACAGCCTGCTAGAGCCACGCACGGCGCGTCATCATCGAAAGAAAGTGCAGGATGACTGAATTCCCGTCCATATTACCATTAATTATAACGTTTACAAATTTTCACTAAGAAATAGTACTCATACAAATTGTCGACCTGTAAGGCTCCTCAATTGGACTAACTGTTGTAAAATAAATGTTTTTAGGTTTGTGACAACATCCCAACATCCCTCTTACCTTCCTTCTCACAATACCTCCCATTTTGTGCTTACAGCAAAATGACATTATATTAGGTCTGTTTTTTGTTTGAGGGTTCTGTCTTGCTAATAAAAATAGAGGACTAAAACATAATTTAAGTTAAAAATTTATCTGTAAAGTTAGTTTTTCATTATTATAATTTGTGCCCAAAACATTTCTATTTGGTATTGGTATAATTTTTCGAAGCAAGATAGAACCATCATTTTGCCTCTGTTCCATGCCTGTCAAAAATGATGCAAATGTATTATTTATTTGTCTGGCATCTCTAGGCGATATTCGCCAGTTGTATCCCCGAGATCATTGACTTAATCGGGACTAGACCAAAATATGGTGGCACACTGAAGAACGAGAGAGGCCGAAGGTGAGAACCCATAGTACTTTGTTTTTGCATTAAACCGGTTCAAATAGACAATATTAGAACTGGATAGCAATCATCAAACATGAGGTAGAATGTGGGGTAGGATAAACAATTGAGAACTCAAACACAAAGCTTGTGGTTGCTTAAAGACAAAGCTGAAAGCCAAGTCTCTCCGTTGACATTTTCAGAATTTGGGAAATTTAATTAAAAAATTACTGCTAACTAATAATATACATCGAAATTTCCTGCAGACCCTTAAATTGTATTATAGACGAAACATTTATGCACCATTAGCTTTTGTCAGTGTCGTTATCTCAATTAATTATTCTAACTTATTCCTCCTGAAGAACGATTTTTTCAAAGCTATTTGCTGTTCACCCTTTCCTGCACGCTTCTTCGTCTCTCCCCTCAATGTTTTCCCCCTTTAAATTTATCTATAAATGTTGTATCGATGTGTACCCTTGTTTTCCGTGTTTTTTTCCTGCGACATGTAGATGTGAGAAAATTCAGTAATCACTTATGTTACTACTGTCTCTTCCTGGACCTGTTTGGGGAATTTTGAACTTTTTAAAACTCTTTTCCCCAACCACGTTCAAGGACATGTATGTTAGCCAATGGTTTGCATGGGGATGGCATGCGTCTTCGAGCGCCACCAATATGTGCGTGGCCAGGCTGTGAATAGGCGCTCTCACGTTTGTAAATAATAGAAATAGCATAGTTTATTACAAGTTTTGTGATTTTTCTAGCCACTCAAGTTTCTGATAATTAGTTTACTGCTTACCACTATAACACGACAATATGAAAAAAATCGTTGTTAGTTCCTTTTAACACTTATATCCTGTTAGGTCACTAATTAAATGGAATTATTATTTACAGGACCTAACTATTTTTTTTTCTGTTGTCGTTAACATAGTCAATATTTTAAACATAATAATCCTGAAATTGCTGAACATACGGTGAATAAATACCACTGCAAAGGTAATCAAAGGTTCAAATCATTCTTGAATTCCAAAAAAATTAACTGTGTCAAAAGACCACATTGTATTAAAAATATTAACGAAAATCGAATAGACAATGCCTATAAACCTTTAAAGTCGATTTAAATAGAATAAAACACTTTTCTCTAAATTAAGAATTTGCAACATTTTTGATATACTACGCTTGTACATAAAAAAAATCACAGTAACATTTCCATTTCTTGGAAACTTTAATTTGCTTAGTTAAGGGAAATATGCACCAAACAGTCACATGCATCTTCAATATAGAGTTAAATACTTAATTTATCAGAAATTTCTTTAGCTCATTTTAGATTTTATACTAACATTAGCTGCATGAAACTTTTGAGTAGCTGTCCACTTGAAGTTGATTTTTGAATTAACAACTTATAGATTTTAGGTACTTTAGACAAAGTGATGATAGTAGCAATTACGTACACTTTACAAAATTATTTTATAACACGTTTGGACACTGATTTTGTAAAATGTATTTTTGGCTTGTGTACCATTTTCATTTCAATTAACCATGTTTTTCACTAGGCACATTGTGGTTTGTGGACATATAACATACGAGTCAGTTTCGCATTTTCTAAAGGACTTTCTTCACGAAGATAGAGAAGATGTGGATGTTGAAGTTGTGTTCTTGCACAGGTACATGTTTTAAATTATATATTCACAAAAAAAAATAGCCACTAATTAATACTTTTAGTCGTATTAATACCAATTTATGAAAATTTTAAATATAGTAGGTTTAACATTCTAGCAGGAATGATTCACTAACTGTATGAAAGGAACAGAAAAAAAATAAGTTCTATTACTAAAGCTATTGTGTTAATTTTGTTTGAATACTACAGATTTCAAGGAAAGGAAAAATGTTTTAAAAAATACAAGCTTCATCATTTTGTTCAACAGATGTGGAATATCAGGAATACCCTTCTCACTCTCATTTCTTCTGAATTATGCTACTTTTTACCATCTTTTGAAATTTGTTAATGTGTGATCGAATCTATTGAACTGTGCTTCTTTTGACATATAATTTTTAGAAAAGAACCAGATTTGGAGCTGGAAGGTCTACTAAAACGTCATTACACTACTGTGGAGTTTTTTCAGGGAACCATGATGAATGCAGTTGACCTTGAAAGAGTCAAGGTACCAAAGAGGATTTTTAAACATATGAATGGGAACATGAAACTTTGTTCAATCGCTTTGTTTATCTATGCCGCACATAAATTTTGTACTTTGCAAGATTTAGTATTTACTCGATAATATAAAGCAAAGTAATGTTTACCTTAGTAGATATTTTAGCTGCATTATATTTAAAACTACTTCTTAATTTTCAATTATTATCTTGCAAAGTTCTGCAGAGTAGTGAATATAGTCACGAGCCTTCTCAGCAGCATGGTTTATTACTGGTTGCCTAAAGGATCAATATATTTGTAGATTTAAGTTATTAGGGCCTTCTTAAACTTATGTCAGTGTTGTAATTCTGTGGTAAAACATTGCAATGTGCAGGAAACCGCCGGACCTTGAACTGGAAGGTCTCTTCAAGAGACATTTCACAACTGTAGAATTCTTCCAAGGTACCATTATGAACCCTATTGATCTGCAGAGGGTTAAGGTAAGTCAACGGGAAACACTTTTTTCAAGCCCACCGATTTGTACGTGAAAATATAACTAAATTTTCCTATTTGATTTACGACATACATCCTTGAGCATCCATTAAAATGCAATAATTATTTAAAATAAAGGAATCTCCTCTATGGTAGAAAAATATGAAAAACGTAAATAAATGTTCATAGCCAGAAAACCCAGTTCAGTCCTGCGTTGTTTCATTTTAAATTTATCTATATTTAGAACACAGATCGTGCACAAATCTATTTTAATTTTATTGTACAAATATCTGAAATTTTTATTATCAATAAATACAAAATCCATATATAAAACTCTTAAAATATTTAGTTATATTTTGACAAAAGTGTGTAGGGCAAATTGATTGTTATATTTCATGTTGTTTGTATTTTAAAACTATTTGTTTGTGAGGAGATATGTACATAAAAAAATGTTGAAATATTTTATCAGTATCATTTAATCGTTATTTATTATTATTTTTAATTTTATATTTGGTTTAATAAAACAATATAACATTATCATTTCAAGAAAAGTTTATATAAAAATTATAGGTAAAAGAAACTTTAATAGTAATATAAATTAATACAACAATATAAAAAATAATAATAAAGAAATTGAATAAGTGAATATCACAACAAATGTCTATTAGATAGTTCTAAAAATGATAGATATTTCTTTAAGAACATAAATATATTAAATGTTATATTTTTATAAAATGAAACAATTTTGTTGAAAATATCTCTCCTGAATATTGCATGGACTGTATATGAAACTACAGAGCCACGGGACCAGTAATTTTGTTTGGCAATTAAATTTCGGTAAAATTAAAAAAATAAGATCGAGATTACATTAAAACACAACATTCTATTTTACCGGCTGTAACTGGCGTATTTTTTCACGATATTCTGTCCAATCAATTAGCGATCGCATTATCTAGAGCGTAGACGTAACGGTTTGTCATTGTTCATTGTAAACGAACCATTAATATTGCTAATGCAAAGATTTAGGGATTTTTCGTTATTTGTTTGAAGCTTTAAGTCTCTTGTTTCAAGATTTTTTGACAAAAAAATGTTTTGAGCTATGATTATCGATTAATCAAATGAATTAACTCGTGGAAAAAATTAAAAAAAAATTCAGTTAATTTGGTTAATCAGCTTCAATTTGCTTTTTGAAAGGTCTCGGTACGATTATTATTGATTACCGAGATATTGATGGTTCTCTTTAAATAATCGATATCTCCGCAAGAAATTTTTGTGAAGTATATCTGAGGGCAGTTTTGAAAACGTGAATAAGTTCTCTACAAGGGCTTGTCACGGTTTTCGAAGAAAAAAATTTTTTCATCCTTGACATCAGTTTGAAAAAAGTGCAAAAAATGACTTTTTACAGTTTTTTAGAAATCTACCGCTAATTTACAAACATTTATATATATACAATAACGCTATATATTGACAAGTTAGTCCATCCAATCGTTTTTCTGTTCCAAATGATTAAAGTTTTGGGATGAATTGAAAGAACACTTTTATTGCTCCTAAACATTACGTTATCATTATCAAAATGAAAAAGAATTTTCTCACAATATTACAATAGATGTTATTTAAATTTAAAAGAAAAAAAAACTTCAAAAAATTTTAAAAAATTAAAAAAAAATTATTTCGTTATGGAAATGTTGCTGGACACTTTTGAGAAAACAATATCTTAATGTTTCTGACAAAAAAATTGAAGTTTACAAAAAGTTTTGATTAATTCTTTCTAGTAGAAAAAAAAGAGAAAAACGGTTACACTGAGTTGTAAAAATTTCTCTCGACATTAGTCTTTTCATCAATCTTTGTAAATTAACGGTAGATTTTCGGAAATACCGTAAAAAGTATTATTTTTCACTTATTTCAAATTAATGTTAAGGATGAAAAAAGATTTTTTTCTTCGAAAACTATGTTAGGTCCTTATAAAGAATTTATCCAAGTTTTCAAAATAGCCCTTGGATTTACTGTGTCATAACTTGTTACAGAGATATCCATGATTAAAAACAAAGGTATTATTTTTCATTCATCAATATCTCGGTAACTAATAGTCGTACGAGGACCTTCTAAAAAGCAAATTGAAGCTAATTAAACAAGCTAACTGACCTCTACATTGATTGAGTTCGACACAGTCCAAACAAAAAAAAAATGAAAATTTTTTTTCGATGTATTTTTTTTGATTCCTCGACAATCATAGCACAAAAAAATTATTTGTCAAAAGATCTTGTAACTAGAGACCTAAAGCGTCAAAATGTTTTTTTATCTCGACACGACCAATTGTGCCTAAAAAATATATTAAATATTTTTGCTCCTTAAATTTTTTCAGTAGTCTATATTAAATGATATTTCACTGAAACTAATAAAACACCATCTTAACCTTGTTGTTGAATTGTTAAAGAATAAATGCCTTTGTTTTCTAGAAATGTGTAATAGGCATTTTTCTTGTGACACACTGATTGTAATAAGAACTTTTTATTTCCATAAAAATTTATGAGTCAACCATGAATGACCGAATTAGATATAGTTTGATTTACCCATTCCATAAGACATACCTTTATTTTCATACACATACCCCTTATACACATTCTTTAATGGTTCAAACTGTTCAAACCTAGTAAGTAGAAATAGAAAGTTCTATACCACCAGGTAACAGGGCCAAACATTGGTAAGTTGGCTCTCCAATTTACTGGAATAGCAAAAGACATTCTTATAAATTTTTTGCGCTCACCAAATTTGTTTGCATGTTAGATAAGTTAGATTGGGTTACTGGATTAGCACTGTTTTAGATGCAGTTTTGCTACATGTATTGTGTTAGATTTTTTGAAATAAAGTTAGTGTGGAATGACTTGATTTTACATATGCATGATTAGACAGTTTAAATAAAAAATTATAGTGTATTAACTTCCAATTCTTTCCTCAATCTTATATCTTAGATGGCACTAGAAATAATTAACTGAAAAATAATTGAGATTTTCTATTCATGAATCTCCTGTTTTGTAGCCAACAGTACGAGCAAATGCATATATTTTAATAATTAACCACCAATGTTCTATTGGCACAATAGTGCCATTTCCCAAACAGTACAACAGAATGATAGAGTCCTCCAAATTGGGTTACTTTAGAACTAGAGTTGAAATTGAGTATTGTGCCACTAGCATTAAGACAATATCTTAATTTTTCAAATAAGTTTGCAGGAACTTTAGTAATTAAAATATGATGGTTATACAATAGCGAATTGGAAAAATTGGAAACTGATTTTTAGAATTATGTAGATAAATAGAATTTCTTTTGTAATTTAAATTTGTATACAATGTAAAAAGTACGTACGTTAAGTTTTTGAAAAATTTTCATAACTAATAAACAACATTTTAACAAATTCAAGTATTGCATGATTTTTTTGAATAATTTCGTCCTCCGTTCACTGTTACCTGTTTGTTTTTTATTACATATTTAAATGCAATTATTTGAATAATTACTACTCTTACTTTAACTGAAATTGTCAGAAACAGTTCCATACAGGGATTTTCAAAAACTTATGTTGATATACAGTGCGGCTATCTGCTCCAGCTAAGTTCAGAACCAGCCCATAAAGTAACTTTAAATTATTGTAATTCAAATAAATTTATTATAATTAAAATAGAAGTGACAGTTACATGGTAAATTTAAAAGACCTTTCAAACGAGAATACCATCCTCGTTATAAAGTTTTAATGTGATGGCACTACCAGCACCATCTTAAAAAAGGTGCATTAAAATGTAGTATTATGTCATTAGATTCAAATTTTGTCCAATCTTTCTCTCTGGTTCCGAATAACTGGAGGGGAGTGAATATTCAAAGCCGCACTGTATGGTAATGGAAATTAAAATTACATTTTATCTTGCAGTACTTTAATATATTTTGATGCAATTAGGTACACGAAGCAGATGCTTGCCTAGTCCTGGCAAATAAGTACTGCCAAGATCCAGACGCTGAAGATGCAGCCAACATCATGAGGGTCATCTCCATTAAAAATTATAGTGATGACATTAGAGTTATTATACAATTAATGCAGTATCATAACAAGGTAATTACAAATGCTTTATGTCTAATTACTCATTTTGAAAGGACCCCGCACTGACTTTATGAAAATGTGGGCTCGGTTAAATTAGTTGAAATTGTGATAAGTTGTTGGTTTTGTTTTACAGACCAAATGTCTCCACAGTTCTGATGATGATGGCTGCAAAGTAGTGTGAGTAGAATATTGCAATAGAAACAGTAACTTTTGTGAAGTGCTTATGGAAAAAGTTAATCGGATGACTTCGAAAAGTCGCTAATTAACATTTTTGACATGTACCAAATACCAAACTGCATTCATACATCTTCCAGTTCAATCTAGCATCAAGCAATACAATTAATTTTTTGATAAATATTTCACAAAAGTTACTGTTTTTATTGCATACTTTATTCATCATACTACTATACAGTCATCATCAGCAGAACTGACTCAGACTGAGAATAAGTAGGAAGGAATTGATTTTCGGACTGTGGCGACTTTTAGTCAGTAATACCAACAATAATAATTTCAGCCAATTTGAAACAGTGCGGGGTACTTTAATCATCTTTTGGTAATAGCCTATTTAGCTTTATGTGTCACGTTATCTATTTTAACTATTATTTACAATGCTTTCGCGGTCATCATTCGAGGTTTGTCATCTGTTTCCTGTTTAACGTTCGCTTAATTCCTAATTCCTTTAGTTTTCTCATTTCCTTACTACTTTTCTCTGTTGTCCATTTTTCAGTGTACGAAGTATACGAATACTTTTCTTCAAACCATCCTATTTACTACACGGGTGGCTTGGTGGCAAAGTCTCGTATACAGTTTATGTATGATAGCATGGTCTTGAGTTATAGAGATTTTATTTGCTCTGTTCTCATTATCGGGGACCACACCCATGCGGCAAATGTTGGGCGACCCAGGTCTCTGGTAGGCTGCCACAGCCACGTCCCCGAGTCTGCCTTAGGTCACCCATCCAAATTACAGCCTGCGTCCGTGATGCTTGCCTCGGCAGATCGAAATCCGCCGGCCAAGACACCCGGTTAGGCGGTCCCCTAGTGTACGAAGTATCTAATACTTCTAAATTGGATTCCTCCTTTCAGTCGTAATTTTTTTTCTTTTTGATTCACTGACTTTTCCAGTTTTTGAGTTGTTGTTAAGGCAGTTGATACACATTTTCCATCTCAGTCAATACGGACAGAATCATTATCGTTTTTTTTAATATAAATCGCATGATGCGTATTCATTTTTTTTTAATTTTTAGGCTTATCTACTAAACATTCCATCTTGGGACTGGAAACAAGGAGACGACGTCATTTGTTTGGCGGAGCTGAAATTAGGCTTTATAGCACAGTCTTGTCTAGCCCCCGGATTTTCTACGATGATGGCAAACCTGTTTGCCATGCGATCCTTCAAAACGGTAAGAATTTATTTGATATACTTGTTCATAAAAGGGAGAATGTTTGAAAGATTATCAACAGCAGAGAAATTAATAAACATACGTACTGCTAAAAGAGCTTGAAGGTTAAAAATGTAATTCTTTTGTGAAAATTATTGTTAATAATAAATGGTTCTAGTCTCCAGACATGCAGGTGTGGACCAATGACTATTTGCGCGGAACAGGAATGGAAATGTATACAGAAACTCTCAGCCCCTCATTTATAGGCATGCCATTTGCTCAGGCCACAGAGTAAGTCGGCTTGGGAAAATCGACCATTAACAGATGCACTTCTTTGTTTATGCAGAATCCCTTTTTACTCATCACAACTATTTTAATGTCATTCTATATCCATTATAAATATTGCAGTTTACCGAACTTAAAATACAAATTTTATTCAGTTAAAAAACATAATGAAGATAACTAGTTGCCATTGATTTAGGTTTACGTGAACTGCTAATATTTATCTGGCGAAAGTACTAATTTACTCTAACAACTAACTGTTGAGCCCTCTGTAACATGTTTTGTAAATACAGCAAAATACTAATAATAACAAATTTAATATTTAAATGACTAAGTATTCTTAAAGACTAATCCCTATGTATCTCAAGTCTGTACACCATGCTCTTTTACTAAAGAAAACACCTACGAAGATGCTAAGTGCCATTAATTTTATTGTTTTCTGCAAGCTTTTGTGTGACATCTGCTGTTGATGTTCCTGATCTAATAAGATATTTAAATCTGTATCTCCTTTATCCACTCTACATTTAAAAGCTATGTAACCATAATTTTGATCTGTAGATACAACTACTACCAAATTTGCAATACAATTGTTATATTAATAAAAAAAAAATTATATGTACAAGGTGATTTGACTTTAAATACTGAAACTGCAGGAATAGTTACATTACTAAAAACTAAGTAGAGTTTGCTCTATAACATTTTTCCTGCGGGACGCGGTATTCGAGATGCAGAGTATTAAAATTTACAAAAATAAAATATATTTTCTCGTCATACCTTCATAATGCGCTCATGGAATTGAACGAAATTTACTACAGTGTATTCGCTTAATTAGACCTTTTATTGAAAGTAATCGTGGCTTTAACCAGTGGCGTGCTACTGAAGGTGCGGCTCCATTTTCCCAAGAAAAAAATACGTCACTGACGAGTTTTTGTAGAAATGAATGAAAAATTCTCCTTAATGTTTTTTAATAGTAACAGTCATTTACGAGATATTAGAACTTGTTTTTACGTTTTATCGAATTTTTCTAATAATTTAAGCCTTTTATTTGTAGAAATATTTTTATTTATGGAAAAAATATCAGCCTAAGTAGCATATATGTAGGTCGAATAAGTAATTAATTAGCGAGTCCTACAACAATTGTTCAAAATGAAGTCCTTCGGCATCGATACACTTCTGACATCTTCTTATCCATGATTTTCCCTGAGAAGATTACAATCTTCCTCCATTCTTTGCTGCAACTCGTCTCATGTCCATTAGCCCAAGAAGGATTACAGCTTGAGGCATAAATAAACAAAGCTAGTTAAAATACTGAAAAAAGATCATCGTAAAGTTTACTATACTGTAAAAAATCAGAGTGAGTGAATGCAGTAAAGATACGGAGTGAATCCATTGAGTGAAATGATTGAGTACATTTTCACTCAATATTGAGGATTTTGATAATTTGACTCATTTGTGATAGTATTTTCATTCAAATAAAGGTACCCGTTAATTAAATTCTCCAGATAAACTCGTATTTAGTAAACTTGTACGTAAATTGGAACAAATGGCGTCATTAATGAGTGACCTCGCCCCTTTCTATGGTTGTCGTGCATTGTCTTTGTCTAATCCCATCATCCCCATTAGGTCATCTAATGACGTGGTGTATGACGTGTAGTGCTTGCGTTTATCCGGTTATTTTGGTGACAATTGTGTTTAAATGCAGTGGTTTGATTACAATAATTAAAAACAATAATATATTTAGTATCGATTAATATTAGGTTAAATAAACGGATAGTTAGATTATTACCTGTACTTACTTACGTATCGGTAAAGTACAATATACGTTATAGCTATCTATTCGTCCGATCAGTTAACCAATTATTTTATTTGATACATAATTACAAATATGATGTAGTGGTCTTTTTCGATTTAAAAAGAGCTTTTGAAACGCTTGATCGTACTATTTAAATAAAATAACGTTATGGTGTTGGAGGTAAAGTACTGCAATGGTTGGAAGATTACTTAACTAATAGGATGCAAAGAGTACGAATTGGTGAATATATCTCAGATAATATTGTCAACAACTTTGGTGTACCACAAGAGAGTGTTTTGGGGCCACTTTTATTCCTAATTTATATTAATGATATGGCTTTATATATTAATTGTTATGATACTTCCAATATCTTAGTCAAGTCAATAGATTAAAACTTAATATTGATAAAACTGTGGCTATTTTATTTACAACTAAGTATGAATTTAGTAAAATAAATGTTAATAACATAGATTTAAATATCGATAGTGAAAAAATTGCCATTGTTACCGAAGTTAAATACCTTGGCTTCGTACTTGATATTATGCTTTCATTTAAAAGTCATGTCAAATATATTCATAATGAAATATATAAATATATATTCGACCACATTTTGAATATTGTGGGTCATTAATGTACTTGTTTAATTTAAATCAACTAGCTCAATAACAAAAATTACAAAATAAATGTATGAGAATCATACTGGAATGTAACAAATATGCACCCATCAGTTTTATACTTTTTGCACTTCGATGGATGTCTGTTAAACATAGAATATTTTATTCTACGATGATATTTATTTACAAACTACTACATAATTTATTACCATGCTATTTCGAGCCATATATGAGTTCAATTATGACACTCATCCACATTTTACCAGAAGCGCAAATTTTGAACGTATCGAAAGAGTTAATTATAGTCAAACAAAAAATTCTTTATTATATAAGGGTATGGATGATTTTAATAAATTACCAGTTATTATTAAGGAGTCACTTTCCTTAAATGTGTTTAAGAAAAATATTTGTTATTAACACTTAATTAATTGCTCTGTCCTTATTTTCGACTAAATTCACTTATATTTGTAATATTAGGATGTTCCTATTTCTGAATAAAATTATTATTATTTTTAATCAAGACCTAAAATATTGTCTCTAAAACAGACCTGTGTAGAAACTTGTGTGGCAGCTTAGTAGTTTATAATTTTAATACAATGATATTTAAATTAAAATTTAAAGAGAATACAAACCAAGTTTGAGTAAAAAATTACTCAATAATAGTTAAATTCATAGAAACAGTCAACTCTTAATTGGATTTACATACTCAGAATAGAGTCAAAAGTCACTCACTTGATAGTTAGCAGAAACTCGGGTTTGAGTAAAATTCACTCACTTATGTTGCAATAGTTTCACTCATAAAATTTTAGTTGTACTTATATTAATAGAGTAAATATTTCACTGAATCATGTGTGGACAGAACTTGAGTGAAATTGAGTGAATATTTTTTACGGTGTAACTGATAACGCAGACAAAATAATCAATTTTTGCATATGGATTTTAATTTACGCATTATGGTCAGAAAATAAATTACCTCCTAAACTGCTGCTACTATTAAAAATGCCAAGAAACATTTTTCATTGATTTAACGTAGTATTACCTGAATTTAACATTATTTCTACAAAAAAACCGACAGTGATGAATTTTTTTCTTGGGAAAATGGGGCGGCACCTTCAGTAGCACGACAATAAAATGCCTAATTAAGTGCAGTAAATTTCATTCAATTCCATAAGCGCATTATGAAGATATAACAGAAAATATTATTTCTTTTGTACACCCTGTATCTCGAATACCACGTCCCCCCAGAAAAAAAGTTAAAGAGCAAACTCTAGCTATTTTTTGGCAATTAATCTATCCCTGCAGTTTCTCTATTTAAAGTGAAATCACACTGTATATGTACATTAATGTATATATTAATTAAAATTTTTTTATTGCAAATCCATACAAGGTACGACATAAGAATCTCAAAATCATAAAATAAAAACAATTTGCTATTCAATGATTTTATGTCGTTCTTCTACAAAACCATGTTCTGCTGTTTCAAAAACACACGACGAATTTAATTTTTTTTATAGTGTCTAACTTAATACAATCCGACACTTCACAAATCAAAACATTTTTGCACTCTATGGATTTGCATAATTTGCCTTTATGTGATTTTTTTATATAAAACATTTTAAAATGACTACTTAAACGATTGTATTGCAACTCTCTTCCAGGGCCAGAACCGGCGTTTTTAAAACAATGGTAGTAAAACCATAAGGCTAACTCCCTCCTCCTCCCCCTTATCACAGTGTACCCTTAACTGCCAGAAAACATCTAAAAGAGTGGTTGTGTCCTTGCCGTTTTGAGTTCAGTGGCAGTGTATTGTCGTTTTCAGTCCCCCGATACTCAAGTCTGGCAAAACGATTATCTGCAAGGCACAGGATGCGAGATGTACACTGAGACTCTGTCCCCCTCGTTCACGGGCATGTCTTTCACCCAGGCCAGCGAGTAAGCTCTTTTAAAACACAATGCTACACATCTAATACAGAAATTATACAAACAATGAATTTTAAATTTGGATCCCATCCATGTTGCTCCTTTTTGCCCCGACTACCAAATTTATCCATCCGTTTCTGAACTGATCTCTTTAATTCTCATTTAGCGAACTTAAATTATATTGCTATCATAGTTTTCTTTAAAAGTTTATTCTCTTTTATTCTACTCATGATTTATCCAAAATATTCTTGAATACAGATATTATGATTAGCAACTGATATACTTATAGACATATTTTTACTTTGCATAGTTGCGAATTACAAAGCGTTATTCACATTATTATTATTCACATAATATTATTTCTACTTACCTTTTACTACGTTAATATTTACATAGTCCTACTTTCCAACAGATTCACAACTTTGCACTGTTAATTCAAAAGGTAAAGCAAATCTCGTTGATGAAAAAATTCCATTTAAAGTTATACAATGGGTCTTCCACTAAGACATTTCATTTTAAATTTCACAAAATTTTTTGCTTGCAACGTTTAAAAGTAATAAAATTATGGTGAAAATTTTGAGGAGACAGTTCGAAAAATTCATACCAGGTTTGGTCGCAGAAATGCGCGTTTTCATACAGCAATTGTGAGTGTAGTGGCTAAATTTGAATGAACACAGCGGCTT